TTGAAAGCCAAAATCGGGCTTTGTAAGGACAGGAGTTTCGACGCATAATTGACACCCAAAAACATCGCATTTTTTATCCAATCAATGAAAAACACATGTAGCTGACCATTCATAAAAAAAATTAAAGGAACCATGCAAGCGGAGTGGAAGCGAGGACGGCAGCGAGGACGGGAGTGAGAACAACATCAGTGGAGAGGATGATGGTGAGAGCAACAGCATGGAGGATGGTGAGAGAGGCGGCCAGTGAGACGCGAAGAGAGACGCCAGCCTGCTGGTAGCTTATCGTCATCGTCTGCTGTCACCCCTCTCAAATACCTGTGTAGCTCAACGGAAGAGTCCCGAACGCGGGTTGTAGAGACTCGATTCTTCTCACAGACAAATTTCCGGGTAGTAGCTGGGTGCTGAGAGGTATGGTACAAGGTAAGTAGCTATACAGAAACTGCTCATTATGAAATTGATATGTAGCGACAACTTCCCCTGCCTAGCACTCCAACGCGTCGTTTGCGCATTAAAAATGGCGAACCTTTCAGCTCTTGCCGCATTACAATTCTTCCTTCTCCATCATTTGTGCTTGAGGTAGCCGATGGCTACCGTGTTCTTCGTGTAAAAGTGGGGGGGGGCACTATGAAAGCAAGATTCCGGGGTAGTGGCGATCCGAGTTTGTGATTTACTTTAAAATGACCAACTGCACCTATCAAAAGGGTTTTCAGGTGCTGTATAGTAACGGTGACGCGTTTTAAACTCAGTTTGACACGGCATCGCATAAGACTAGGCTGCGAAGCGGAGGTAGCTGGATTTGGACTAGAGTTGTATTGCTACGTGCCAAAGCCAGTCGACACTACAACGACACTCGTCGGGCAACAGCTGAGCGTATTCAAGAGCAACTGCCCCGCGCCGCCAGTGTGCTGATGGAGCAAGGAATAGTAGCTGGGCCGGTCACGCCGAGCTACACGGTTGTTACTCAGGCAAGATTGCCGAATGGAGCCGCAGGTTTTGTAGCTAACAAAACGACATTTCGACCGTAGAATTTTTTACTGGCCGTATTCCGCCCTGACCGGACCTTATGCCCGGATGTTTTTCCCGGTCAAATCATCATGTCAGTGCAAACATCCGATCTTAAAATGGTGTGTTAATTGTATACAAGAAGCTACCAGTTCAAAAGTACAGTCATGTAGTTTAAGCTCATCGTTGCTCTGTAGCAACGTACCATTAGTCATCTTCTGAGCTGCTCTCTTCGTCAGCCTCCTGATCTCCATCCCAGTCCAATGAATTATCGTACACATTCGCAGCCTCTGTGATCCTCTGCTCTGAGTCTTTTATGGCGGCCACTGCACCTGTAAGCGCCTCATCAGTAGCATCACCCATAGACTCCTCGTCCGACGATGTATCTCCACACAGGCCCAGGTTGTCATCAATTTCACTACAGAGTGAGTCAAGGGAAACATCAGACTCTTCAAAACCGGCGTCGTTGCTGTCCGAGTCAGGTGGCACTTCAAGCTCAGTCAAGTCAGGTACCGGCGGAAGTGCTATACGAGGTAACCGCTGTTTCTTCCGGTGTAGCCCTCGTGTGATGCTGGCCTGCTTTCTGGCGTAGGCACTTGACATTCGGCCTATCGTTGAAACAAACTGGCGCAGATTGGGATGGGGCTTGAAAGCTGCATTCATTTCGCGGTTAAACCTCTCCAATGGGTTGTTAGTACGAGCAACTACCGAGTTCATGATGCCGAAAACATTCCACTCCGTAATAAAATACCGTTCTAGCCAGGTTTTACGAGAGTACAGCCAGAACCTACGTCATTCTTGGGCGGAGTACACACATCCTTTGTCGGCACACTTCCGTTTAATCTCTTGTTTAACCCAGCCAATACCCTTTGGGTCGACAAGCTCAGGATCGATTACAGTTAGGATGTCAAGTACACCAGGTTCCATCGCAATCAAAATATCGTCTTCCGTAAGACGTTCTTTCTTCATTCGTCTACGTATTGCCTGTTTAAAGTGGAAGAAGCATCCTACCACCTCGGCGTTGGGGAATTGACGTTGAACGGCTGAAATTAGGCTGAACTCGAAATCACAGACAACTTCAGCTGGAGACAACTTTTTGCCGGTGTCGCGGTGTATTAGGTGCAAGATGTCCTCGTACTTTGTCTCGGTCTTGGATGTACAGAGTACGAAATACACCGGAGTGTACATATTCCGAGCCGGATCATCCACCATAACGATCAGACACTGATAGAAGCCCCTTGGAACACATCTAAAAGTACCGTCAATAAAAATTGAAACACTGTTGTAAAGTAGAAGCTCCTTTAGAGCAGGGTGAGCCCCCCCAGTATACGCTGGGTGGCGCATTCGGGTTCCGGGTGGGCAGTCACGAGATGGGAAAGGAAAGAACGGGATCGCAGAGTCCTGACCTTCGAGCACGGGTGGTACCTCAACTACTCCATGAATGTCTCCACCGTAGTATCTGCGGCGAACCCGACGGACGCGGCTTTTAACTTGCTCCTCAGTTAACCCTTCGATAAGCTCCTCGCAATGGGGCCCATTGAACTCAGAACAAATACGCTCCCAAATGGCTTCCTCGGGCATCCCAGGATCCTCCGTTGCCAGACGATCGGTCATCTTCTTCATAGCACCGGTCTCATTCCTTAACGACCCGTTAACTATTACGTCTTTACGACAATTGTGGTCACCTATCACGCGTTATTCACCGTGGGGTGTTATCTTTAACACTCCGTTGCAGCGTGACGTACGGTACGTACTACACTGGTACACAATATTCTTCGTAGACGCCCACGACTTCGTATATTTGAAACCCTTGTAGATTTTGGTCGCTTTCGAGCCGCGCTTCTTCTTGACGCGCAAGACGGGTTGACTCTGTGTCGAAGGCGGTTGGTTATAGCCCTCAGAGGTGGAGCTGTCGATGCTGATGGCCGCTTGAGGAGGTGAAGTGTGTAGGCGCTCGGCACCATGACCTGTACTAGCCCCCACTTTATGGCTATGGACGCGCTTTTTCTTACGTCGATCATGCGTATTCTGACGTGTCATACCTTGGGTGAGTATGATAAATTCTGTCTGACAGTAAGTGGTTCTCCTGCTTCCCTCGTACGGACACAAGATCCAACAGAAATAGATCCATGGTCTTGTTGTAGTCCCGAATAGAATCCGGTACATTTCTTCAGTCTTTAACCCGAAAATTGTATTGGCTCCGTTCATAGATCAGATCATGCAAGACAATGCCAAAAAAGCTCCGTTCATAAGATCCGGTCAGGGCGAAATACGGTCAGTAAAAAAGTCAACCCATTTCGACAGATCTAACACGTGATCGCACAGCAGGCGGCAATGAACGAAACAATCGAAGACGGTCAGTAGCTAGCAAACGCGAAAACTTGTGCGCGTGAAGATACAAGGTGTCCCAGTCGCGATGGAAGTAAGCGTCAGCGATATCCGCTCTGCGCTTGGACTTCCCAGCTACAGCCTGCGCTCACCATTTCGAGAGCCCACTGCGGTTTCCACACTAGCTCCTGCTGGTGATATGGAAGACACTGATCATTTTGGTAGCTGAGAAAAGGAGATGACAAAGGAGAAACAAGCATATCTAAATTTCCCAGATGGACAACGCATTGTGTTTGTAACCGCTGTGGCTGTACAGATTTTGCCACCTTCTTCTTTTTGCCGAGTACAATACTACATTCGTCTCGAAGCACTGCGAGCGAGGCTTCGCGAAACGCTATGTTAATGTGGCGCTGTATCAACCGCTTGAGCGGCGAGAATTCGACCTCAAGTGGATTGAGGTCTAGAGAGTAGGAGGGTATATAATCCCGTACCTGTTTTTTGTGAATAATTTCCTGTAGCTCCTTGTACATATGTAACTTTGCATATACCCATCACTACGATGGCTCTTGGCAGCGACCACTGATTAAGAAATGGAAGACCTTTGAAGTTAGAAATTTCTTGGAAACCTGCGTCCTCCACATCACCCCTCCCCAAAAACTTAAACGTCCATCGCAGCCAGGATTGAACCCCACTTGCCGCGGCTGAAGGGGAGAGTCGCGTGCGCCGGCGTATTTCTAGCAGACCAGCCATAACGGCGCAGTACAGATCTAGTGCTAAATTAGACAGATTAAAACAGCTGAATTGACCATACATTTACGACTTGCCTGCCGTCTTTTGACGTTTCGTTTTCGAAGACGACTTGGTCTGCACCCGTGTAAAAGATAGTAGAATGATCAGCAAACTCTTGCCTTTCGCGAGGGACGCTGCGCTTACTGGGGATTTTACGTGTCAAATTATGATCAAAGCAGAGAGCCCGACAAATTGCGCCTCAGAGACTCCAATTGAGTCGCGGTACCGCAAACGCAGTTTGTAGTATAGCTCTTCGAAGTGAAAGCGTGGATGTGCTTTTACGTACTCTTGAACGAAGGCACACACGTCACGAGGCCACCTAGATGACTTGCTCTAGTCTTCGGTTCACAAACATTGCCTGATGTACTGAAAAGCTTACACTGTCGAGCGAGACTGCGGTCTGAAGACCCAGCACACTGACAGCTGTAGCAGTGTCAATTGAATAAACGTACACCAATACCATACCTCCCCAACGGAAATATAGTGAGTAGGTCATCTCTTCAACTCTGACGACGGGATGAATCTCCGAATGCCCAATAAATGCCAGTCATTCGGACAATTGCTCGCTCACAAGCAGTTTTTCAGTCCGATGAAAGCCTGCTATCTGATTTTCAAACTTTTCAGTGAAAATATGTTCATTATTCTAAAACTAAGTTTACTTAACAACTGAAGAGTGGTAATGTATTACCAGAAACCTAACCTCGCCGACTAGAAAAGCACTTTTTCAAGTCCAATCCGCTAAAAAGCTTTTAAGCGTACAATATCACAAGTAAATACAGGTACAGTAGTATAATACTTTAGGTGCCTTCGATTTCAAACTACTATGCATTGACTAGATTGCACTAAAATTAGTTTAGGTGGTTAGCCAATGGCAGTGGCCCATGCTCGGGAACCATTGGGATCGCGATCGGAGGCACCGCTGGCGACGGTACCGCACGCGCTGGCGTCTATGGCTACTCTCTCATCGCCGCCTTCTCCTAGTAGTCGCCTCGTGTCTACTTCTATTTGTTGTCTTAAAGCTATGGCAATCCTTCCTGTCTTACCGTCGCCGCCAAGCTTGGAACGCTCCCGAACTTCCACCACACCAGATCCAAGCCTTCACCTCGAGTTTGTGGCTCGAGACGCAGCAATTCAAGCCCAATACTCGTGGGATTGTGCTACCATTATTTGATGACATCGCTCTACTGGGCTTCTCTTTAATCCTGGAGCTTCGACGTCTCCAAGTTCGCCTCCCCGTGGAAATTCCTCACTGCGGAGATTTGAGTCAAAACCTGCAGAAAAAGATGCAAAATCAGGACTCATCCGTGACATTCTACGACGTCTGTGAACGCGCTACTAATGCAGCAATCGAGCAGCGTCAACTCTTCTGTGTAGATCTAGATCACTGCCACCACAAGTTCCGCAGCTTCGACATCAAAGTACTGGCGGTAGTATACTCGCAATTCCAGGAAATCATGCTACTAGACGCAGACACGCTCTTCTTCCAGAATCCCATGACACTATGGGACACAGTCAAGTACAAGAGCACAGGAACACTTTTCTTTAACGACCGTATCAGCTACGAGTTGTCGTATCTGGCCAAGCGAACGTCCTCTGATAATATTGGTGCATTGCATCAATTTCTCGCGGACTTTGACGTCTCTCTGTATAGGAATTTCGGTACTTTAGACACAAAACCGAGACCTCAGATACCAAGGCACTACATGGATCTAGATTTTAGTTTCCAACCGAGCGAATTTCTCGTAAACTCGCACGTTTGGGCACTTCGTAGTGGCCACCAAATGGACTCGTCGCTGATGTTGTGGAACAAGGCACGACAGCCACGAGCGACGGTCATTCTGGCGTCTTTTGTGTCGCTAAACGGACTACGAATGGCCCCGTCCTATGGCGATAAAGAGCTCTATTGGCTGGCGTGTGAGTTGGCGGAGACTACGTACGAATTCTCAGACTATGCTGTGGGCTCTGTCGGCTGGGGGCTACTAGCTGAAGGGCGACACAACGATGGAGTTTTGTGTGGAGACGCACTGCAGCATTACCCGGTGCGGAAGAATTCTGCTGTGGGACTGGAAGCAGATGCTGAGCCGCTGTATATGAACAGTGATAATATCTTGGAGTGGGGTCGAGACTCTCGACGACTGTACCGCACGGCTGCTCGACCTGCAGCGTTCTATCCAGGGTCGTTTACGGAACGGAAGCTGCTTCAGACCTGTCCATTCGACGTGACGATCTTGGAACTCGCGCCGTTGGAAGCGGTGTTACTAGCGCAGAGACAGCAACTTTACGATGAGGTGGCGGGATGGATTGATGAGTCTGGAAGAAAGTGAAATCCGTTTGATTAGACTACACAGAAGCGCTGGCTGTGGGCGGTGCAGTTTTTGATTTGGTGCCGACGGTTTAGAATTCTCAATAAGAGATCTCTATCGCCTACGCTTATGGGAAAGTCTGTGACTCAAGATCAACTTTACTTATGGGATCGATTGGCATTCGTAAGGTTGGTATTGCTACGAGAAGGATAATAGAGATAGATTCGATGCGATTTATTTTATGGATCGAGCTGGTAATGGCCATTGTTCACCTCGAGAAGAGCAGGGTCTAAAATCTTTGGGGGAGCTCTATAGATTTGGGATGCACACGACAACACCCAGCCAGTACAGTACATGTATCTTGAGCTGTGTTCAATCGCGGCTTCTACTTTGAAAGTACCGGTACATGTAATGTATTGCCAGTGGCAATTTGACCGAGGGTGTAAAGTTTTTTTTTGTTTCACGCTTAACACCAATAATTTTTGAAACATGCTGTGGGCATAGTTTAGTCGTGATCGCGTACGCTGGTCGGCTGAGGCTCTGTGGATCACGTGGAGATTCAATTGCCGTGTTGGATCGAATCAAGTGTGTACAGAAAGCCAACACGATTGCTTTTTGTAGATGAACACCCCCACACTGAAAAAGTGCAACATGGAGCGGCTAACTTGCAAAGCTCTGGCTGAGCTGCGAGACTTAAGTGAGCCAGATCCGCAGCACTTTAGACCGGATATCCTATCTATATGATAGCATTAAATGTTAAGTACTCGATTTATAGCTTAAAGCTTAGTGTCATTGATGGCTATGGGGAGTTCATCTCGCAATACAAATCGTGACAGGGTGTTGTGGGGTACAGAATGACTCCAATGCGGTACATAACGGGAAGCTTAATCTTTCACGTGTGCCGTGACATTCCTTCCAATATCGCTGCAATGTACGTGTAAGTAAACTGCCCTTCTTGTCTCGTCCTGCATAAGTTGAGTAAGTTTTATATTAATATAGTAATAGTAGCGTCAAGATTCCAAATTCCCCACACCAATCGGTCGTAATCATATCTGAGGCAGGGCAAGGTACGGCCGTTCTCAGCATGAGATAGGGAGCTAGATGATACATGCCGCAATCCGCTTATTCTCCAATTCACCGACTCCGGACCATTCAAGCATTTCAGTCGAGGACTCGAAAAGAATTGGCTTACCATGAACAAGTATCTGGTACGAGGCCTCGGCTTCTTCAACGACGCCTACGATCTCTTCGTCATGAATATCGTCAACGTCGTGCTTACGGAGCAATACGGCAAGCACGTCTACACGTCGTACGTCAAGTCCTGGGTGTCGGCTGCTGCTATCATCGGTGCTGTGATCGGTCAGCTCTTGTTTGGCTTCCTGGGTGACGTTTTCGGTCGCAAGGTCAACATGATCGCCACTTGTGTGCTCCTGATCGTGGGTAGCATCTTGTGTACAGTTGCGTATGGAGGTAGCGGCAGTTCGACGCTGTGGTTCCTGGTCGTGGCCCGTATCATCCTCGGTATCGGTATTGGCGGCGAATACCCACTTGCTGCTTCGTCATCGGCTGAAGACTCGACCAACTCGGCTGAGCGTAACACAGCCCGTGTTCAGACCCTTATGCGCTGCCCTTGACAATGCGGATCGACAGACACCCTGGTCCCGTGTCAGTGTAGAGGAGAAGTCAGCTATCTT